ACCTAAACTGTCATAATGCTGAAATGATGATGAATAAATTTGGCATTTGTGGTAAGTTACCATACCATTGACTGTAACATTAGGTAGTTTACTGTGAGGAAGGAAAGATTTGTAAAAAATTTATGTACCTAATTTAAATTCATGAATGAATCACGATATCCTTGATCAACATTGACGTTATATGGGATCGTTGCGAAGGGAAGTGGGAGTTCAAATCGATATCGTATGTTGTGAAAGATATAAATTTTTGATATTAATGCAGTAATCTAATCTAATTTTCAATAGTGAATCAATTTTGTAGAGGATTTACCAATTTTCTCATATGAAAATTTAAAAATTTCACGACACGACACATACTCCCACCTATTATTTGTTTAATGAAGTTTGAAACAATTTGGCTTTGACTAAATTAACTCTACCTCGAGAGCTACCCTCGGAGATGACATCACCCCACCATGTACCTCGTCAGCGCAACCACGACCACTCTGACAAGAATGCCCCACTAAGAAGAAGAAATTAACTCTAGTTTTAGTATAAGTCATGAATGGCAAAAATATTTCAGATATTTTTTAAATCCCCTTAAAATAGTCTAATAACTATTGTGATAAATTAGGTAATGCATGAAGGAGTTTGAGTGATTACTTACATAATTTTCCTCTCCACACCTCTTGCGAGTGTTAGAAAAAAAGATGGCTGCCTAACAAGACATTTTCAGCAGAGCATAACTGAGACAAATATATCGACATGTGTTCAAACCAAAGATCATTAGGTATAATCGATATATTATGACCATCATCGATCAGTTAGGTGACGACACGTCGTACATCAAAATATTAATTAACAGTTCTTAGTAATGTCTAAAAAAATAGACGCTTCAGCAAAAACAGCGCTAACTAAGGTTAATTAATGCGCTAATTGGGTTAATGGTTAAGTTAACCACTGACCATACAGCTGTAAATTCGCTAAACAGGCAAAAACATGTCGATAATTTAATAAGATAGAAAGCTCAAGCTTTTATAGATGCTTTTTGCGATCGTTAGCAAAAATGAGTGTAATAAAGGAACCGAAAATCTTTTTCTATTAGAAAATTGTACAAATAATTTTATCGGCAAATTAAAAAATAATTAGTTAGATCAGAGTCCGTGGTGTGCATCGATATGACGGATAAGAGGCAAGGAAGAAGAAGCAGGGTATTTGACACCACGAATCAATTGACGTACTTTTTAAAACTGTCAAAACTATACTCTCCCATAGATTTTGTATGGCTATTATATCAACCCAAATAAACTAGTTTTTTCAATTAAAATGTAACCAAAAATATTAATTTATAATTAAAAAGTTTTTAAAACCAGAATGAAGTGTCTTTTTAAAAAAGTTGTGCTTTAGAATTATTGGGGAATGGTGTCAAATACCCAATACAATTATAGTGATCGTCTTGTGTCAACTCGGCAACTATCACCACAGATTACTATATTATTATCTATCATGCTCTATGTTCGTTAAGAACTGTCAACAGCAAAAGAAAAAAACAAGTCTACGAGTAGTTCTGAGGGCTTAGTGTGAGTTTACATTAAACGTTTGTCACTAGCGAGTGCGTTAAAAAATATATGAAGATTTTTAGTTCTGTACATTTAGGCTGAGTTGCACCACCAACTTTGACCGTAACTATAACGATAACCGGTGTATTTTGTATGGACTTTGACAGATTTTTGACGTTTGTCAAAGTTAAAGTAAGATCAAGATGGTGCAACCCAGCCTTGTGTCACTTTTTTACGCAGCCGACATCGAATGCATTTGACGTAAACTCACACTATGCCCCCGAGTAATGTCAAATAAACAATGAGGATGGGAAATGTGATTTGGTCTAGAATTTTCCATGTTTTTTTACATTAAGACGTTTTGTTGTTGTTATATTAAATTTTAATTTATGTCCTTTAAGTGACCAAGAAATAAATGACAATTAAATAAATTAATTAATACGAGACTCATTAAAAGTGGTCTAAGAATTTGGTTTTTTAGTACTATACAAAGGGTAAAAATCGGTTAAAAATAACTCACATGACTTTACACTTATTTCAATGTAATTAAGTATCCATTAGATCTTTAACCTTATTAAAATCAAGGTATTTCCTACAAATAGACGGTTATCACGAATTTGTTCACGAAAAAAAAACTATTTTACATACAAAGACCACATTAACCTATGACAGGTTAAAATGTAGCATAGACAATTAGGTGTTTTTTTTATTGTCGTGACTCGGTACAAATGAGTATTAGTAATTAGTTTGCATTGGTTTGGGATTGCCACAAAGATGCAGACTAAAAAAGGAAAATAATGTTGCTTAAAAAGTTTTGTTACAGAAAAATTACGACTTTTTCTAAGATTTTTATTGCAGTACAATGGGAGCCCCATTTTATTTTAGTTTTCGGGAGAGTTTTTCCGCATTTTTCCCAAATCCTCGATTTTTTTTACATTATGATATTTCGATTATACATTATGTATAATTAAGATGAATGCTGAATAAGTTGTTTAAATCTCAATATAAAAATATGCAATTAATCTAAGTAACCATAATAATTTTCCCCGTTTGGAAAAACATTAGATATTTTTTTAATAAATGAAAGGGATTCATGGCATTTAAATATTGCTTATTTTACTTGTAATTAGCGGCTCTGCAAGAGTGCTGAAAAAAGCCGGAAATAACTAAATAACTTGTTAATGAAACTTATTTTCAGTTTCATAAAATACTCAACCCAATGTAATTTAATTAATTTTGAACTTTCCCGTTGCATAGCTGAATTGATTTAAACAGGTTTTAACGCGGTACGTGGATAGGTAACAGTGAAATTTTTTGACAGTTGAAAACTTTTCAGTTTCAGAAAGTTTTTAAAAGTATTTGCCACAGCGATGCGACTTTACAATGTTACACTTTTTTTTAAACTTCTATTTTAATTGTTTTGAATAGGTACTTATCATTCTGTTTGTTTCATATTAATTATATTATTTATGAGTGAATCATTAAGGTAATTGAACACTCCAAATAATAAGGGGAAAATGCGAATAATAATTATTAATTAATATTATTAATTTGTGGAATGTGCAATCTAAATCACCGGCTAACCAATGGTAATTATATTAAGAAAACATGTAGTTATATTAAGAAAACAATAAATAATAATAATTGATTGAATCAGAGTTGATAGTCATGTTTACATTATTTTATTATTACATCGTTTATGATGATTTTTAAAGAAACTGTAAATATACTCTACTAGTGAGCTTTACTTGTGTGTGTACGTGTACATGTACATAACGATAGTGTAATGTCTATCAAAACTTAAAAAAAAAGAATAGTAGTGAGCCACCACACATGTAAAGCTCACTCGCCTTCGTGAATTGCAACAACTATAATATAGGAAATTACTTTTATACCTTAATTATTTATAGTTGAATGTTTGAAGGAAATAGTGATTTCTCACTCTCGTGTCAGTGACAAAAAGATAGATTTTCTATTTTGTGCCTCAGTGGATTAGTGTGGGATATTGGTCAGAATATCTTGGGTTTGATTCCCAGATGGGTGGTCCTTTTAGAGTCATTTCCATTCTTATTTCGTTGAAATAACATTTATCTGCTTAAACTGAATTAATTTTGCGTGACTTAAGGTCCCATGTCCCCTAGATGGGGCAAAGGGCGTCCAAATTAATTTTGCGTGCCATTTAAATACCATTTTCTCGCTATAAAAGCATTTTGAAGGCAGACATTGTTAAAGCACGTTAACCCTCGATTAGTCACGAGTCATAGCAGATACCTACATTATTATTACGCCATTGATGGTCAGTTTTGTTCATTGCTCTGCTCATCCATGACGTGGAAAAATACTGACGTCATCGTATCAATTAATGTAACATACCGCTCTACATAACACTTACTAGATAATATATAGAGCTGAAGAGTTTGTTGTTTGCTTTGTAAGTACTGGTCCGATTTGAAAAAATATTTTTGTGTTGGATAGCCCAGAGCAGTAAAGAAAAATGTTGTAAAAAAGGAAAATATTATTCAAACTGTTTTCACGTACGAATTCGCGGGCACAGCTAGTTTTCTTGATAAAACACAACTTTTATTCTTTGAGGCGAGTTAAAAATGAAAAAAAATAATTTACGTCTATTACAGATTATCTCATAAGTTTGTGCTTTCATTGCTTCATCCATCCATGACGTGGAAAAATACTGAGCATACAACTCTACATTTTCTTGATAAAACAACCAGGCTTTCTTACAGTTAAACGAAGAAAAAGGATTTACTTTAAATAGATTTAACAAACTGAGAGTTGTGCCCGCAAGGTCAAAAACCAGATTACTGATCAGATAAGTAAATTACAACTCTTAATTGATCATTTAAAGAATGCAATTCTTGCAAGAATATTATTTGCGGAAAATTACGCTGCTATCTTTTAAATTCCTGTATTTGAAGTCTTTGCTCTATTTTTTTTATCAATAGCCTCATCTTCTGCTTTTGACCACAAAACTTAGGTACTTAGGTCTTTAACGGATTTTATTTGATCAAATTGATTCTTTGCTTTGATAAAATCTTTGAAGAAGGGCTCATAGAAACTTACATTGTTGTTGTCATAAAAATATTAAATGGAATCTTTTTGCCCATGAAAAACTTCGATCACTGGCCCATTTATTGTCCCGAGCAGTGGTAGGGTTAATACTAGGACGTGTAAGACTAGACGCAGACTATCGATTTTTAGTCGGCCGATAGTTGTGCCCGATTTTAAATTGTATGAAGAATCGGCCAAATGAAATCGGTGTGATGTGCGCACTTCCATACATGCCCATACTGATCAACTGCCCGACTAAACTATCGCCCGACGATTAATCGATGGTCTGCGCCTAAGCAAAAAGTGCTTTTTAAAAGCTTACTTGCAACAAAAAAATGAGTTTCTTGACTTTTTTTTAAACCCTTTGAAGAAGGGCTCCGAGAAATCAAAACTTACTGTTCGGAGATCCACCCCTGAACATAGGGTTCGGCGCCATCCAGGGAAACGCGCCGAAGGGCCACGCGGGCGGCGGCGCGTGCCCTTGATACAACCTCGGCAGCAATGGCTGGGGCACCACCACTCCGCTCCTACCCTCGGCTTCCTCCGGCTCTCTCTCATCCCTCTCATCAACATTGGACTCCACATCCTCAATGTCAACGTCACTGTCATCCGAATCCGGCGCCGCGTCCGTACTTTCTGCGTCGTTACTCGCAACATCAGCTGTATCTCTAACTGGGGTGTCAGTCTTGGATCCCAATAGCGAGTCCACGCTGAAAGATATCCGGCCCTTCCCGCCGCCCTCGGCGGTCTCGGCCCGCTCGCATTCGAGCGACGTCTTCATTTCATCTGCTCTGCATTTCAAATTTTCAAATCCGCGTTCTATTTCACCAGTCCCTGTTCTATTCGAACGTCATTTGATTTTTTATTGTTTTTTTTTTGGTTGTAGGTTACGTTTTCTTTTTAATTTCCACAGATTTTCCTTCACATGGCCATTTTTGTAATTTTTTTTTTAATTATAATCAGCCAGTGTTCGGTTCCGGTTCAAAAATTACACCATGCAAACTTTTTAATGTCCGAATCGCACTGCTGTTTATTTTTCGCTAACAGATTTCGAAACTATAAAGTTGTCGGCGCACCCATTAGCGTTATTTGTGTTAATTTGCGCGCTACTAATCAAATTACACTCGCGGTGTGTTCCAAGTCAATACACTACAGTCACAGATTAGCACAATTTGTACGGTTCCAAATTCAAAATGGGTTCGCGAGTCGCGATTGCGTTCGGAAACGTTGTCCCGCGTGAGTTTCGCGTGAAAATCGCGTTCGCATTGGGGCGACGGAGGCTCGTCCCGCCTCTCCTCTCCGACAGAGACGCAGCTACCGACCGAGGAATTTTAATAAGCGGCGCGGAGAGAGCGGGACGGCGATACAATCCGACATGTGTGTAAACGCGATATTGAGTAGGCGGGGTCCGTCGCGCTCAAATTAATAGTCTCTATGGAATACGCCTTATAGAGTCCTCTACGCGAAAGGGAATTTTATTCTTATGTCAGTAAAGATAAGGTTGAATATTGTTGAGTTAGGAGAGAGAAAAAATGACGTATCGTAGCTAAGATAGTCAGATTGCAGTGGCTATTGTGTTGAATGAAAAAGGAGTAAATAGACGGGTGCTGTAGGCGGGCGTAGAAGGGACTTTACGATTTAATTATTCGCGAATGCGAAGGCATTTTGTAGCGAGCTAATGTCTCATTGTCTCATTAATATATCTCGGGCGTGCCGGCCATGTTTGATTTGTTGACGCGTAGGTGAGAACGGTTGAACTTGTGTTTTGACAGTTCGGAGTGGTATGCGTTTGGCGGTTGCGCTCGAATGAATTGATTTTGAATTTGGAATTCGTGATGGCTGATAGAATTCTGCGGGTAGGGAATGGGTTATTGATTGGTTGACTACCTTCGATTTAGGGTTTAGTTTGGGAATAGGGTATTTTTCGTAGTATTTATTTCAATGTATATGAATTTACAAAGCTCTACATCACGACATCAGACATCATGAATGAAGGAAAATGATTGATTTTGAAAGCTATCCATTTTTGAAATAATAATATTTTTAGCTGGTACCTTAAATGTAATTTGTAATCATTTATAATAGAAAGAGAAACTTCCTAAGAATAAGAAGTTATAATGGTAGTTGTAAATGTAGAGCCGTCGTATATTTCAATACATGACAATTTATTAAGGTATCAATGGTCTGGATATTTTTATCTACAATCATTGAGTGTGAAAGACGGTAAGAATAACAATTGGATTGTTTATACAGTTTATCGGTACTCTCCGTTCAATTTATAACATTTATTTTACTTACAGTTGATGTTTCCATTATCTTATTAATAATTTTCTATGCCATTGTAGATAATGTCCACGCATTATTTTTAAAATAATGTAGGTAGATAGATAAAAATCTTCACAAATAGAACTTAAACTTGACTTTATCTCCTATCGGACCATCTTCATCCAAAGTGTCTTTAAACATCAAAGCATTATCAAAACTCGTAAAAAATAGATCTGCTTGTTAGAGCTGACGTAAAGTCAACGGGATCAAATCGAATCATTAGCGTCATGTCACTTAGCGCGAGTTAATCGCATTAACTTCGTATCTGACATCTCTTTGTGCATCGGTACTTCCCTATCATCCCCATCTCACACTCCAAAACCAACTTTAATTGTATCGAAATACGGTACAGAATGACTTGTAAAAGGCGCCGCACCGCCAAAATTGATGTCAATTCGCAAATATTAACAAAGGACGATCCTTACCCCAAATTTCGTGCTAGCAATTCCAACTCTTATCTCGATGTGATAAGGTGGATGTATTTTAGGGGGTGTATGCACGTCCCCCAGCCAATTAATGTAATTTAATCGCACAGTGGGATTACGGCGGCTTAATTGAAAGAGTGTAATGACGATGTTGTGTGCCGGGGCTTATAGAGCTGAGATTCGGCAAACATTGGGCTGGTGGGAAAGTGGGAAACGCCGGATTTGAGCGGGGTTTATGGGTTTTTGGACAGTTATAGTTGCGATAGCGATGTTTATAATGGCAGAGGTTTCTGGCACTGTTGAGAGAATGCATCTTAGTTATCCCAATGTTACCTATACCTACTATTTGAATTCATATTAGGTGTTCCAGGTTGTTTACTTAGGACTAAACAACAATAAGTAAAGCTGAATGAAACAATGAAATAAATCGTAGACCAAATACAATCGTGTTCTCTTTTATTTCTTTTAATTACCTTTTTATTATATTTTGAAATTAATGTAGAGTCTGTCAACTGATGTTTTATCAGTTGCTAAGTAAGTAATTTGATTCAGTCCTTGAATTATTTCAAATTACCATTAAATTTTTAAACCTATATCGATTTTTCCTTCAAACTTTGCCCAATAAAATCTCTCAAAAACAAAAATGAGAGTCCCTAAAATCTCACATCACGCATTTTTTAATTAAGTCTATCTTTTGACATCTGCATAAAATATATCCGAGTCGAAGATCCCCGCAATCCTTGGGGCAATAAAGACCATACTACCCCAGCAGAGGGCGCGTAAGGAGCGGGCTTAACTGAATTTATACCGAAATAATACGCGAAAGGGCAATCTTTTTAAATAACGACTTTCATATTCTCGAGTGGCGCGGACAATTTAGCCGGGTTGAAGATTTTTTGGTTCCGCGTTTGAAATTTTAGAAAAGGAATACTCTTTGAAGCCTACAGAGCACTTTTAATTTCTTTTGTGGCCAGCCTAGACCATGGTCTTTTAATTTCTTTTTAAGAATGGAAAGCTTTTTTTATTTTCTATGTGGCCAATCATGTTCATTATTTTCTTACAAAATGAAGGCTTTAAACAGCTTATACCGAAATAATAGGCGAAATATTAAGACTTTCATATTCTCGAGTGGCGCGGTTAAAAATATTAAATATAAGCTGAAGGACTATTTCCTAAAGCTAATGTAACAATATTAAAATATTTTTATGCTGTATTATGTAATTGTATGTGAAATTGTGAATGTACCCACTGCAAACTCGTTAGTTTTACATCAAACCCTAGTGGTTTTTAAAGCTATCTAAATGTAATTGTCTCAATGTAACTGTCTTTAAGTTGTTAAATAAATTAAAAAAAAAAAAATTGATGAAGATTTTTTGGTTCCGCGTTTGAAAATAGAAAAGGAATAAAATACTTGAAGGCTATAGAGGACTTTTTAATTCTTATTTTGTGTGTGGCCAGTTCATATTTTTTTTCATTTTCTTTAACGAAATGGACAGTTATTCTGTGTTGCCAATTCTGTTCATATTTTTCAAACATTTTAAGTGTCGTGGGATACCTACCACTCGCTATAACGGTTTACCCTTATAAAATAGCTTGCTATTAAGGAAAAGTGCTGTGCTGTGCTTTCATTAATGGAAATAATTAAGTCTCAGGAAATACATTTTACAAAACTAGTACATTTCATAATCACTCAAATACATACTGTATTTAGTGATTAATATTTACGTAATGTTAGTTGGGATAAAATGTACCTATAATTCGAGTTTAGTTTATTGAGTATTATTTATTATCATAGAGTAAGTAAGCACTTGAACGTATCAGTAAAATGTATCTTATTAGAACTTTATAAGTTACGAAATCGTATCATAACGATTGTTCGAAATTCACATTCGATTCAAAAGAAAACTCAGACAGAACCGTTAGACCCCACGAAAAATATGCCCTTGCCCGATTTTATTTTTTTATTAAAAAGCGACGATAGTGAGCGGGGGTGGACGCGGCATTACTCCCGCGAAATGAGTTTTCAGTTGGCGGGACTTTTTCTTTTTGTTACTGACATAGGATGTTGTAGAGTTGCCAGTGTCATTACGTTAAACGGAAAACCGGGAACGGTGGCAGTGTTTGATGTGTTTTGGTGATTGTTATAAAGTTTTTCTTTGCTTTTTGAGTCTCTATGTTAATTATTGGCAAAACGTTTGTAAGATTTTATGTCGTTTTAAGCAGGAAACCCATCGGTATATTATCTCTTCTATCATCATTTCAGCCACAAGACGTCCATTTGACTGCTGAACATAGGCCTCCGACAATGATTTCACACAATGGCTGGTTGGTGGCGGCCTACATCCAGCGCCTTCTTGCTATCTTTATGAGGTATCTCTCTACAAATATTTAACTTTGATGTTTCCTGCATTATGAAAAGATAGTATGTATGATCAGTATTGCATTCATTTACTGAAAACTTCACATAAAATAGTTAGAATACGCGTTAACTACGCTTAATAAGTACATACAGAATATTAAAATAATGAAAAATTACAAGTCATCGCCCTGTATTTAGGCTTAGCAAAGGAATATTAAAGACGAAAGCTAATTCCTAAAAATAGCGGCTCTCGATGTCGTAAGAAGAAAATTGTCTAAATCAGTTAATCTGATTATTTGGAACAGTTGATTGAATTTGGAATTAATATTATGTTGAATCCCTCACAAACTTCCAACCGATTAATTTAATCTTAGGCTGAGTTGCACCACCTAACTTTAACGGTATTTTGACTGATTTTTCTTTTTTGTCAATGTTAAAGTAAGATGGTGCAACCCAGCCTTATCAACCTCTGTGTGATCTTTATAGATTTTGGATTGATAATTATTTTGTGAAAATGTGTCAGACATGGAAAAACTTTTTCCTTTTCTTTCAAATTTTAATTTTCAAATGGTTGTAACTTAAAATTCTACTGTACAAAATTTGCGTTAAGCGCCATACTTATAAGTGCTTGGTGTAAAGTTTAAAATTAAAAATATACCCACTGGTATTTGTCTCTACATCGGAAGGAGCTTAATGCCTCTTCTCCAGTCGCCCATTTCTCGGAATGATGGCTTTATAATGACATTATTGGTTTAAATAAACGCCGACACGATTCGTAATATGGCGTCGAGACGCGCGCTAAATTACAATAACGCGCGCCGTTTCGCGCCAAAATTGGTGACGCGCGCGAAATAACCCCCTAACGGCTCTCAGGGGTGCCTGAGGTCGAAATCATAGCATATTAAGCTAGTTACCTACTAGTCAATGAAATGTAAGAAAGAAAACTAAATTTAAGGGTCCTAACGAATAGGTATTAGTAAATTAAATGAAATAGCGGACTGTATAAAAATACTTAGGTGCTGTACTTCTCGCCAGCCTAATTACAAGAAATCATAAGAGTTATTCGTGCGTCGACGGTGGTGTCCCAAGCCGAGCGCTGCCGATGATGACCCTCGTTTCCTCCCGCGCGTTGTTGGCTTCCCAACACTATTTTTGCACTAAACCTTTACAATTTGACTCAA